ACAGGCTAGTGACAAAAAAAGAGGCCTGAGTGAGAGACAGTGTGTGTTAAGACAGTGCCTTCGAATCTTCATCACCACGTTCGGTTGTCTAGACAAACTCTGTACTGAAAGAATGTGAACATGTCCTTCAGTTCTACTTGTGGGAAATTTCAAGGAAGTCGTCCGTGCACAGAGAACTAGCCACAAAATGTTGCTTCACTAGGCTGAAAACAAGCTCAGTGCCCAGCACTACTGGATTGGGAATGTAAACTATGGAAGGAAAGAAACCATACTAACCAAGCTCTGGGAAGTGTGTCACAGAAAAGTATTACAACGCACAGAGAAATCTGTGTGCCGCTGCCCACCCTCCGTATCTGTCACCCAATGACAGATCGCAAACATTTAAATTGTTCTGAACATGGTATTATGCTTTCGATCAAAGTTCTCCCCCAAATTCTCATGTGTGTGGAAGGGGATTGGCTCACGGGGACTCAATGGAAGGGGTGTGTCCCTGGGGATGTCCCTTTGGAGGGTGTATCTCTCTTCCCGGCCGCCAAGGGTTGAGCGCCTTTTCCTCCACTGCACCCTTCTGCCATCCTTTTTCTGCCTTGGAGTCAGCTGATCAGGGACTGAAATCCGGAGCCAGAACAAACCTCCCCTCCTTTAAATTGTGGGTGTCAGGTATTTTGCCCCAGTGATGACAAACCGACCGAGACACATGGACAGCCTTTGTTTTTCTTCTTATTTCCTAAACAATACAGTAAACAACTATTTCCACGGCATGTGCATTCTGCCATCCTGGGAGTGGGTCCCTGGGATGGATTTAAGAAGTATTACAAATAATCCAGAGAAGATTTCAAAGACACAGGAGCATGTGGGTGGGTTGTGTGCAAATACTGCATCATTTCACATAAAGGACTCAAGCACCCTTGAACAGTGATATCTTCAGAGGGTCCTGGAACCCAGCACTCACAGATCTGAGAGATGAGTACATATTGAAACAGGCAGTGAATGATCCAATTTGTTAAAGTACTTACCCATGCATTTTTCCCATGCATTTTTAAATGGAAGGAAATATACTAAAATGTTAACAATGACTAGTGAGATAAAGCCAATCAACTACAATCTTCTTTTTAAGTTTAAATATAAATCTTTATTAAAAGAATGATAAATGGTCTGGGATGTAGCTCAGTGGCAGAGAACCTACCTCCCATGCATGAGGTCCTGAGTTTGGTTCTCAGCACAGAAAGAGACAAAGACAGAGAGAGAAGAGCGGGGGGGAATTATAAGTGCATATATAGCTTTTATTGACAAAATTTCAAAGTAAAAATTGCTTTTTCCTAAAAGGAGGTGGAATCGCTACTTGGCCTTTTGGCTAAGATCAAGTATTCAAAGGAGGTGGGGTTTGGGGGGCTTTTTTCTAGTCATAGGTTTTTTAATTGTTTTTTGGTGCTGGGGATCAAACCCAAGAACTTGTACACACTAAGCACTGCGTTACACCCTCATCCCAAGGTGATGTTATCTAAAAACAGTAACAAAAAGACAAAAAACAGGCTCAGTAGTCCTTGCCCTGTCACTCCAGAGGCCGAGGCAGAAGGACACAGGTTCCAGCCCAGCCTGGACAATTTAAGACTCTGTCTCAAAATGAAATACAAAAAGGGCTGGGAATATAGCTCAGTGGGTAGGAGCACCTCTGAGTCCAATCCCCAGTCCTGAAAAGAAAAACGTAACAGCACACTGCTTCCCGGAAGCTGCCTTCTCACGGAGTATTTCTCATGTTCTCCAGAGACACCACTTCAGTCATACAAACGGCAGCACCGTCACACTACACACTGGGCCCGGCACTGCTCAGACTGTGCAGATGAACAGACAAACTCTTAACTTGCCGGTGTCTGGTTAGGAGAGTTGGAGGTGTCTGGGGAGCATCAACCAGGGCCAGGGGGCCTCAGCATGAGTCCAGGAAGCCATGGAGAGGGACCAGAGCCCCACAGTTCTCATCCAGCTGGAAAGGGGTGCACCGTCCAGTTCCCACTAGGGATCACCCGCTGATGGCACAGGAGGGTCTCAGAAAACTGGATCTGATGGATCTTTACACAGGGCTGGGGGATACAAGCTTTTGCAACTCAGATCTTGTGCTCAATGCTGCACCTTCTTTTCTCAAAGAGGAGAGACTACAACTTCAGTTTGGCATTTTCCAAATCACTGACAAAGAACATGTAAATTTGTTTGCAATCAACCAAAAAGTTATTTTTAAAAGGAATTTCTCAAAGCAACTGAATTCTTCCCTGCCCAAGTCTCTGACCCATGGGGCAAAGGTTCATGGGAGCAAAGCTCCTTGGGGCAGCCCTCTTGGAGAAGGCAATTTTCTCTCCATAGGAGGGTGAGGAGCTTTCTTATTTCCTGGGCACCCAGCAGTGATCAAGGGGTGCATCTTACTGACGTGGTTAAAACAGAAATGCCCCACCCAAAGTAGGGGCAGCAGTTTAGGGCAGGAAGGAGAGAAGGGAGATGGCTGAGTTGAATGGTGGAAATTCTTAGATGACAGAAATCCTACCAGGGACCACCATTCCCTGGCACTGAGAGTTGGCATTGGTAAGCTAGTTCGGGGCATCAGGGCCTCTCTGAGCTTTGCAGGTGAACTGGTTCACTTCTATGAAGAGGCTGGGCAGGGTCTGAGCCAGTCTGCTGTCTCTGTCTGCATCTGAGAGCTCCTGGGGCAGAGGTCAGGACTTGTCCCTCTCTGCATTCCCCCCACCCTGCAGCTGCCTCCCAGCATCCCCTGCATCCCTGCATCCCAGTCCCCAGGTCAGACACCAAGCCACACTGCTTGTTTTTCCGTCCCTCAAACACACTGGGCAAAGTATTACCTCCAGGTCACTGGTCTTACTGTTTCTTGTCCCAGAATACCTTTTACAGGTCTTTATATCGCTGGCTCCTTCTCATCCTTCTTCCCCAAGTACCCCTTACCTAACCCCTGCATCAGGCATCTAATACATTGCCTTTGTGTGTGACCTTCAGAGCCATTAGGACTTTGTGGAGTTATCTGTGCTGGGCTGTGTAATTCAAAGATGGCTGCTACAACAGGATCTCCTATCACTCAAAAGGTTCTAGAACCTTCTGCTCCCCATAGGATAAGAGTGTGATTGGTTCCCCTTAAATCTGCCCTGGCTTATGACTTGCTTCTGACTAAAGTGACTCCCAAAACACAGGCAGAAGAGCAAAGCATCTCTACCTAGTTTCCCTGGTTGCTTCTTGTTGGCACTCTGAGTCACCATGTCCAAATCCTACCCTGAGGCTGCCATGCTGGGAGAAAGCCCAGGCTATAAAATGAAGCTCTGAGCTGGGTGTGGTGGCACACACCTATAATCCCAGCTCTCTGGGAGGCAGAAGGTTCACAAGTTCAAGCGCAGCCTGGGCAATTTAGCAATTTATCAAGACCGTACCTCACAATAAAAAAAGAAGGCTGGGGATGTAGCTCAGTACACAGGCATGGATTCAATCCCCAGTACCACAAAACAGAAAGACAATAAACGAAAGGCTCTGACAGCCTCCGCTCTCTCCCAGAGGCAATAGCCAGATGTGTACCTGAAGTTGTCCCCCCAGCCATGATCGCTGCCCCTTGCATCCTGCAGCAGAGACATGTCACACCCTTCCCATCTGCCCTGGCCAGATTCCCAACCCATTGTATATATAAGCATAATGAAATGGTTGTTTGAAGCCATAAATTTTGGAGTAAAGCAGAACGAGCTTCCTGGTACTGTAAATCTATGTGTTGTTGGCCTCTACCCACCAAGATATTGGTTCCAAAAGAGTGGGTGATTCCATGACTGGGTCCTTCCTGTATCCACAGTGTCTTACATACAGTGAGCACCCAACAAGAGATGAAGGCCGGCTAGCTCAGGGTAGCATGCTTGCCAGGCCTGCACCAGCCATACCACTACCACTAATAGAATATTAATAACTGAGTAAGAGAAAGAAGCAAAATTTGGGCCTGGAGCAGGGATGTATGTCTATGATCCCAGCAACTCAAGAGACTGAGGCTGGAGGATCACAACGGAAGGGAGATCAAAATTTTAAAGGGCTTGGGCTCCACCTCAGTGGTAGAGGACTTGGCCACAGGGTGAGGCCCTGGTTTAGTTGGGAGGGGAGGCTCATTTGAGAAACAATAAGAATTATTCTTGCAGTCTCTGACTGTCCCATTTATTCAGCACGTAGTTGGGCACAAGTGACAAGCAAGTCACCAGGGGCCAGGAACACCATAGCTTAATGCACTTGTGAAATCCCTCGGTCCCAACACTAGTGATGACCACAGGGAGACAGAAGCCTGGCTCCTTCCTGGCTCCCAAGATGGGTTGAAAAGCTGACTTTTTAGCACTAGAGGCGACTGCCAAGCCCCACCCAGCCCGCATCTGGGGCGGACTTAATTATCCCCCGGTGGGGCTGTTTTTACATCTACAGCTCAGTCACTTGTGCACTTGTGGCCTCTCTCTAGGCCAGGGGACGACTCCAGATAGGGACCATGTGGCAGGAAGACTGCTGCGGCGGTCCACATCTGGCCCCTTCCCGGGGGTTCCTCCCCAGCAGCTGTCCTCCTGCCTGGCTGCCTCCCACCCCTCGCCAAGCAGAAGCCTGAGCTTTCAAGCGCTCAAAGTAATCCTGGCAGGGGCGCAGCGGGCGCTGAGGGAAGCCTGCGGGATGCGCCTCCAGGTTTAACCACTTAATCCCCGAAGTACCTGCCAAGAACCAGATAGCGCGCGTCTGGCCGGCCGACCAGCCCGTCATTAATTCATTAAAGCAGGCTCCTGCCGGCCCATTATCTCCTAGCCGCTGACCACGTGGCACTGGAGCCTACCGTCCCCCTTTCTCCCCAGCTCCGGGTCCCAAGGCAGGATTCTGCCGACCCCTGGCCCCTCTCCCAGGCAGATTCCTGGGCTCCTCTCTCCCTCCCCGTCCTCTCCCAGGGCACGCGCGCCTCCCTCCCTCCCACGCCTCCCGCCCTCTCTCCTCCAGCCAGCGCTCACCATAAAGCCTCTTTTGTTCCTCTCCGGTACCTCGGAGCAGTGACTGGTTTAAATCTTACCCATCCTCCCGCAGCCTCCCCAGCCTCGGAGGAGCCGGCCCAAAGGCGCTCTCAAAGGCAATCTCAGGAGTGCAGGGATTTACTGCCTTCCCTCTAGCCACCCCCCCTTGTTCTCCATGCCCCTCCTCCTGCAGCCCCCAAGCCCGGGTTGGAGGGGGGAATGCATTCCCTCAAAGCCAGAAACTCACAACTCCGGTTCTGACTTCAGGACGACTCAGGTGAACACTCTCTGCCTCTGTTTCCCCTATGATGTCATAAGAATGGCCCTTTCAGGCCAGGGATTTAGCCCAGTGGTTCCACCGCCCGCCTCCAAAGCACAAGGTCCCAAGCTCAACCCCCCAAAAAAAAAAAAAAAAGTATGGCCCTGTCCACTTCTAGTTGAAGGAGCCAATAAAGAGCTAGGTAGGCACTGGACAGTGAAATGGATGGTCTCTCCCCACTTCAACTCCATGGACCAATACAGATCCATTTACCTGGAGAGCAAAAGCAAGGTTCTCAGGATGGGAGTGCTGCCGGCGAGTGGCTGAGTATTTATGCATTGTGAGATGCTGGGCACCAAACCCAAGGCCTCCCACAGGCTAAGCAAGGTCTCTACCACTGAGCTGCAACCTGGCCCCAGCCATGCCCTTAAATCCAGGTGATTCTGGGCCCTAAACTCATGCTCTTAATGGTCCCCGCATCCTCACCTGTCTGGCAGGGGGGTTCCCAGGAGGGTAAGTAGGAAAGGTGTGCATGCCAACAGTGACAAGGGTAAAACACTGACTACTCAGGGGAAGAAATGTGCTGTGCTCCAAGAATCACAATCACCCACATTTATATACACTTCTTAGGCACTGTTCTGGAGCTCTGTGTGAATTCATCTAACCCCGTTAGCAACACCCATCACTGTAGATTGAACCCAGTGAGGTATATCCCTAGCCCTTCTAACATTTTTTTGAGGCAGGGTTGCTGAATTTTCCAGCCTGGGGTCAAACTTGTGGTCCTCCTGCCTCAGCTTTCCAGAGTGGAGTGCTGAGATTTTGGAGGTGTGCCACCACACGGGCCCAGCTAAATTCAGCACTATTCTTACCCCCAGTTTACATATAGGAAAACTGAGTCTCGGGTTTTTGTTTCTTTTCCTTTCTCTTCTAATGATGACTTCTGAGAAAACTGTTGCTGGCTCCAAGTAGAGGTCAGGACAAGTTTGTAAGACTTCTGATCTGCACATAGCTGAGCTCAAACTGAACCCTTAAGGGACTGCTTTAAGTGACTCCCTGAGACTCTCGGGTAGGGGGTGCACATTCCCATTACCCCACCAGGATAGGGAAAGTGGGGAGCACCCAACACCTAGCATAGAACTCAACAAATCGTCTTTTCTCCGCTGGATTGACTTGCACTTCTACGTAATTCACTGGAGCTGGGAAAAGCTGGAAAAAATTAAGCACAAACCCAAGAAAAGTCGGAATTGCAGGTCCTCTGAGGTCAGCGTGTAGGAAGTAAGGGAGAGAACTCCATAGGCAAAGAAGCCCAAACATGGGGAAGCCCGGGTGAGAACGCAGGGGGTGGTGTGGAGGAAAGCTAGGGGTCCAGGGCTCCCGAGGCCTGAGAACCCTGAAGGGTGTGGTGCTGGGGACGCCCCGGAAGGACACAGCGGGTGCAGGAGAACCCAGGGACGGCTGTTCAGAGCAGGTGGCTCAGAGTCAAGGCTCAGGACGAAACTAACCGAGATAGAACCAGAGTGAGCAAGGGGAATTCTATGGCGACTTCTACCTGCAGGGACTGCTCCAGTGACCCCACCGCCGCCGCCACCTCCACCACCACCAACGCGGCGCATGCCCCTTGCTCTGCACGCGTTTTCCAACTTCTGTCTTCGTCTGGGAGCACAGGGGTGCACCCTGTCCGCCCAAAGGGCGACCTCACCTGAGGGGGCTTCAACTTTAGAAGCCTCACCAGTACTCTGCCTCCAGTCACACAGTGTGGGGCTCTGGCTGGGGTCCCCGCCGCCCTGGGTGCTGTGCCCAACACCCCTATTATCCAGCCTGTACCCCCAGACCTTTAGAAGCCGTGTCCCAGCCCCCCATTTCTATTAGCTTTCTTTCTCTTCCCCACTCGCAATTTCTTCTCCAGACAGTCATTCTCTGGTTCTCCCAACATTCTTTCCCCATCTTCTTGACCTTTTTCCCTCTCCCTTCTTTCTGCCTTCCCAAATTCCACGCCTTGGGCAAGTCCCGTCCTTTGGTTCCCATTACCTGGTCCCCTATACTTGGTCCAAAATGCTGTTTCCGCCCTTTTGGATTCGGCAGTCCCAGTCTGGCCCCTTCTGGCCAGGATGTGGGAAAGAGGGGAGAAACGGATGGGACCTCAGCACCCGGGAATCAGGCGGAGAGCACCCCAAAGCGCGCCCTTCTCTTCGCCAGCGCCCGTGTTGCGCGGGCCCACGAGACATCTGTC